CAGTTGGACAGGTGTACCTAATAAAGTGGCCGGTGAGTGTATATATATAAATATTCATATTTCTGCTGAGTCATGTTTGTATATATGGATTTTATTTCTGCTGAGTCATGTTTACATCACGTTTGTATTTAATTGATTATATTTCTGCTGAGCTGTTTGTACATGCTGAATGTGTTTTTGCTGAGTCATGTTGACATGTTTGTACGTGATCAAAGTATTTCTCAGCTCAGACTCAGGGATAGGGTTTCTCACGCTGTCGTCTCCGACTCGCTGCAGAGCGTCTCCCAGGTGGAAATAAAAGCGCCCGTCATCTGTCCCCGGCTCACCTGACTCCAGCCCTTCCTGCAGACACACAGGTGAACAACAGGTGAATTTTTGTTAATACAAAAAACAAACAAACAAATGAAGTCATTTACTCACCCGCAGGTACGGTATACTCTCTGCGATCTTGTTTTCCGCCTTCAGGATGAAGCCATAGTGAACTTTAGCAAAGCCGTTGTCAGGAYCATCAGCCAGAACCTGAAGGGGGCGGGGCATAGAAGACAGCCAATCAGAAAAGCAGGAACAAATATTTGATATAAGGTCAGTTTGCGTTGATGAACCAGTGGATGGACTCACCTCTTCGTACACCTTCTTAGCGCCCTTGTTGTCACCTAGCAACAGGTGGGCGACGCCCAGGTCGTTCTTCAGGTCGACATCATCAGGAAAGATCTGTACGAGTTTCTGCAGAGTTGCCAGAGATCCTCGCATTCGACCTGAGGAAGAACAACAAAACAAAAGTTATTCTACAGAAAACGAGGCTGAAACGTCTGGTTTGATAGACGGTTGTTACCGAGAAACTGCTGCCGCTCAGAGCGCCGTTTCAGCGCCGCTCGCAGGAGGTCAGAGGTCACGTCAGGCAGCTCAGCCACATCTCCGTAGGTGTTGATGGCTTTCTGCAGCATGTCGTTGCTGCGCAGCTTCTCTGCTGCGTCATCCTCCGCCTGTTAGTGACACGTGGTATTAATCATCAATCAGCATGACTCAGCGTTTCTTTCAGTTGTGACTCATCAGCACCTCTTCAATCTGTGACTCAGCACCTCTTTGATCTGCGACTCAGCACCTCTTCAATCTGTGACTCAGCACCTCTTCAATCTGTGACTCAGCACCTCTTTAAACTGTGACTCAGCACCTCTTCAAACTGTGACTCAGCAACTTTTTAACCTGTGGTTTTATAACACTGTGACTCAGCACCTCTTTAATCTGTGACTCAGCACCTCTTTGATCTGCGACTCAGCACCTCTTCAATCTGTGACTCAGCACCTCTTTAATCTGTGACTCAGCACCTCTTCAATCTGTGACTCAGCACCTCTTTGATCTGCGACTCAGCACCTCTTTAACCTGTGACTCAGCACCTCTTTAAACTGTGACTCAGCAACTTTTTAACCTGTGGTTTTATAACACAGTGACTCAGCACATCTTTAACCTGTGACTCAGCACCTCTTTGATCGGCGACTCAGCACCTCTTTAACCTGTGACTCAGCACCTCTTTAATCTGTGACTCAGCAACTTTTTAACCGGTGGTTTTATAACACAGTGACTCAGCACATTTTTAACCTGTGACTCAGTACCTCTTTAATCTGTGACTCAGCACCTCTTTAATCTGTGACTCAGCAACTTTTTAACCTGTGGTTTTATAACACAGTGACTCAGCACATCTTTAACCTGTGACTCAGTACCTCTTTAATCTGTGACTCAGCAACTTTTTAACCTGTGGTTTTATAACACAGTGACTCAGCACATCTTTAATCTGTGACTCAGCACTTCTTTAAGATGTGACTCAGCACCTCTTTAACCTGCGACTCAGCAACTTTTTAACCTGTGGTTTTATAACATAGTGACTCAGCATTCATGTAACATACCTGGGCTTTCCCGTAGCGAGCGCGTGGGCTCAGCGGATACTGCTGCACAAGGGAATCAAACGCTTTCAGGGCATCTTCCACCTTTCCCTGATGAGAGCAGAAACATGACTCATCAGGAAACAAACAACAGGCAGAATTAAAGATTTTTTTTGTTGGATAATCAAACCTTCTTGCGAAGTTTCTCAGCTGCYTCGATTTCTGCTTTTATGGTTTTATCCAACTTATTGAATAATTTTGTTTTTTTCTTCTTTACTGCAGGTGAAGGAACGACGGACATGATCACATTAAACAAAAACAACTTCAGAGTGAGAAAGTTGTTTATCAGGTTTTACCTTTTTCCTTCAGCTCCTCAGCCTGTTTCTCTGCTTGTCCTGTCAGACACAACAGACAGAATTTATCTTTAGTTAAAAAATAAAAATCTACAAACAGCTGAGCTGGAGGCTCAGAGTCAGTACGAGGAGTTTGAGTGTCAATCAGCACAGATTTATATTAGTTTTGTTATTGTTTCTGGCTAACATTTGTTTTACTTTTTTTAGAAAGTAGTCACAGCTTCAGCTAAATTTTATTCAGAGTACTCAGAAAAACACACAAAAAAAAGTGATAAAAACTGGAAATATTTGTGAGGAAACGTTTTCACCGTCATCATTCTGAAGGTTCTCTGTGGGTTTGATGGTCTCAGTCTGTGGTTCTGGTTCTGGTTCTGGTTTAGGAAGCTCCTCTGCTTCTAAGATTCAACAATACAAATTAAATTCTTTATGCTTTTTAACTGGATGATGAATCATATTTCCTGAAAATGTTTAAAAAATAAAAATAAAACCTTTAACTCCTTCTTCTTGTGTGAGTTTGGAGCTTGTCAGGTACTGACCCGACCCGACTGCAGGACAAAAATATCAAACACAATATTTTAATAAAAACAATTATTAGGAGTATTAAAAATAATATCTGTTGTACAAAAATGTTTTAATTTAGCCCCAACTGTAGGATAGAAACTAATAAAATAAAATATAAACTGACCAAGGCTCTCCTCTGGCTGTCGTTCCTCTACCAGAACTGAAACAACAAATACAAAAAACACAACAAGAATTCATGAGTTTACCATACGTGTGAACAATAAACATACAATAAAAGGGGCAGAGCAACATATCCTAGCACAAATCTCCACCTCTTTTTGGGATACAAGCTTTTATGGCAAAATTACATTTTCTGTTTAATACCACCAATAATTACCCACCCCTCAAACAGGGCGGTGCCATTGTTGCATACCCAAAAAGGGGCAGTGCCACCAAAAAAGGGCGGTGCCAATGTTTACACCTCAAAATGGCGGTGTCATTGTTTCATATCCAAAAAGGGGCAGTCTCATTGTTTCATACCCACAAAAGAGGCGGTGCCATTGTTTCATACCCAAAAAGGGGCGGTGCCATTCTTTCCTTCTTCAAAAAGTGGCGGTGCCATTGTTTCATACCCAACAAGGGGGGGTGCCTTTGTTTCATAACCAAGAAGGGGCGGTGCCAGTGTTTCACATCCACAAAAGGGCAGCACCATTGTTTCATACCCAAAAAGGGGCGGTGCCATTGTTATATAACCAAAATTGTGGGGGTGCCATTTTTTCATAAACAAAAAGGGGCGGTGCCATTGTTTCATACCAAGAAAAGGGCGGTGCCATTGTTTCATTCCCAAAAAGAGGCGGTGCCATTGTTTCATACACAAAAAAGGGCGGTGCCTTTGAAAGAAGCATTAAAGCTGAAATTTTTGGATGGTTTTAAGAACTAAACAAGTAATGTGAATTTTAACAATGTGAATATGCAAGTTAACAACATTTAACACTGGTCTGTTTATTCTCACATCTTTAACAAAGTTTATGATTTTCACAATAAAATGTTCAGCTGCAGTCGATAAATAAAAGTCTCACCTCCTGTGGTGTCTATGGTGGTGGTTTCATCCTCTGAATAATAAAACAAAAATAACAGAAAATTCTTATAAAACCGATAAAAACTCAGTGATGGAAAGAAAAGATTGAACTAACCATAAGGATGTCGGCTGTCTCCTGGATGATCTGATAAAAACAAACCAACATTAAACTGGAGCTCCCCGAGGGTTTAYATAAAAGATTATAATAAACTGGATGGTTTCTAATAAAAAGTGTTGAATAATTGTTAGCTTAATATCTGTTTTTTGTGGATTTATGATGTTTAACTGACCAGGAATAAAGTCATCTTCCACTGGTGGAGGGAGAGGAACAGCAGCTGGAGATAAACATCATCATCAGATAAACGTGGAAACATCTGGTCATAGCAGTTAKAGATGGTTACACAGCAGTGATTCATCAATGACTCATCAAATACTCAGTACTGTGACAAACTTCTGGTGCTTTCAGGTGTAGAGTTAGTTATTTTATTCATCTTGTTGGAGCTGAGTACCAGAGATGTTCTCCTCTGTGTTTCTATCAGATGTTCAGTGTAAACTCCATGTCATGATGTTGTGGAGCGTATCCTGCATACTTACAGTGTCAGTGTTGGTGTATATGGAACTACACTGATCTTTGGTCTGGAGACAAACTGTCAGTCTGAGATCTTCCAGAGTGAAGTGACAGAAAACAGCAAGAAGAGCCAGAAGATGTTTGATGAGACCACAGCTAGCTGCTAACGGAAAGCTAGGAGCTGACAGAAAGCTAGGTGCTGACAGAAAGCTAGGTGCTGACAGAAAGCTAGGTGCTAACAGAAAGCTAGGTGCTAACAGAAAGCTAAGTGCTAACAGAAAGCTAGGTGCTAACGGAAAGCTAGGCGCTAACAGAAAGCTAGGTGCTAACAGAAAGCTTGGTGCTGACAGAAAGCTAGGTGCTAACAGAAAGCTAGGTGCTAACAGAAAGCTAGGTGCTGACAGAAAACTAGGTGCTAACAGAAAGCTAGGTGCTAACAGAAAGCTAGGTGCTGACGGAAAGCTAGGTGCTAACAGAAAGCTAGGTGCTGACGGAAAGCTAGGAGCTAACAGAAAGCTAGGTGCTAGCAGAAACCATGTGCTAACATGAAGCTAGGTGCTAACGGAAACCTAGGTGCTGACAGAAAGCTAGGAGCTGACAGAAAGCTAGGAGCTAACAGAAAGCTAGGTGCTAATAGAAAGCTATGTGCTGACAGAAGCTAGGTGCTGACAGAAAGCTAGGAGCTGACAGAAAGCTAGGAGCTAACAGAAAGCTAGGTGCTAATAGAAAGCTAGGTGCTGACAGAAGCTAGGTGCTAGCAGAAACTATGTGCTAACATGAAGCTAGGTGCTAACATAAAGCTAGGGGTGCTAGCAGAAAGCTAACACTCAGATATTACCGCAGAAGAACTGAGAGAAGATGCTGGATGCAGGACAGAGTGGCTTCACGTTTTGACATAAAGAATTTCAAAATAAAACAAAGAACAGAGATAAATAAGTGAACAGAGGACAGCTTCCAGCTGCAGCAGTGAAGCAGAAGAACCAACCTTGGATTTCAGACTCCACATCCTGAGATCCAGATTCTGCAGCAGATACAGAATCAAACATTAACGTGTCGTCATGCCAGCGAGTCGTCATGCCAGCGAGTCGTCATGCCAGCGAGTCGTCATGCCAGCGAGTCGTCATGCCAGCGCGTCGTCATGCCAGCGCGTCAGCTCATCCAGGTGACAGGCAGCAGGTGAAGTGTTCAGGTTATATAAACAGTAACATGACTGATGTCATGTTTTCATTAGAAACATTGAGCATCAATAACAAATGATTCATTCTGATCTGTGGTTTATTTGTTCCTCTAAACCAGAGATTAGCCTGGTCCATAAATCTGCTGTTTTATCTACAGAACAAGAATAAAAACAGATTTTATATTTAATCTAATCTGTAGAAACTAATAAACTGAAAATGATTTATAATCAATAAGCTGTCAATCTTCTGATTGTTGAAGGAATGTGGGAGCTTCAGTGGACAGTCTGTGTGAAACAGGTGGAGTAAAGGTTTGAACAGCAGGGTCTCACACACCTGGCCCCGCCTCTTCAGGGGGGGTTTCAGCTGACGGGACCTGGTCCTGGTCCTGGACCGGACCATCGTCCTGTAGCTCTGCAGCTCGATGAGTCTCTGGTTCTGTAGAGGAACAGTTTTTATAACCAGCTGACAGATGGGATTATTTARTAAAGATGAATTAAAACATTATTTTGATTATTTTGGAGGTTTTACTGGAACCTTRACAGGACCTGACAGTTCTCACTGAACACCTCCAGCTGTTTATAAAACCTAAGTGTTTCTGGCTCCTGGTCTCAGGTGGACCTCAGGACCGGTTGTTCTGGTCCAAACTGCTGTGTTCGGTTCAGCGGACACGCCCTCGGTTCTGATTCTCAGGTGTCGGGTCGGCGCCGGCCCGTTTGTGTTGTTTGTTTCCTCACCTGTTGTGTGTGGAGGCGGAGCTTCAGTCCTCGGTGCTTCCTTCAGTCCTGTTCAGGTCCAGAAACACAAGTCATGAAGTAAAGCAGACCTGCTGCCACCTGGAGCTTCACACCTCACTTCTGATCGATTCTTTCAAAATAAATGTTTRCTCTGATATTTAACCAAATATCAGAGAAAACATCTGATCATGTTAAATAACTTTTACAAACACAACCTGCAGTTTTTAATCACAAATTAAAGAAACACAGAGGATAAAACTGGACGCTGATTTAGGTTTCATGTTTTTACAAGATTTATAAATACAGTTTAGTCCCTTTTCTTAAAATTAAACTTAACCAGGAAATAATAAATCTAAAATAGAAAACAAACCAAGTTTGTCAGTTTTATTGAATCAGAGGTGAAATAAAATCATCAGAAGAAGCATCATGTGACTGATGTGGTTTTACCAGAGAAACAGGAAGTGCTTAAAGGAGCTGATAATGTTTAAAGGAAATAAAGACGGTAAGAGGAGGCAGAGGTGTAATCTTCATCACTTCACAACTTTAATCAGAACCCAGACTCCATTCACTTTATTCATGTTTTAAAGACACACATCAAGTATTTCACACTAAAACCTTCAGCTGTTAAAAACTGAAACAAGAAGATTTAAAACATTTGTTATAAAAATACTTGAATTTCTCACAACATTAAATAAATTAGTTAAAAATCAACACCGTCACTCTCTAAACACAAAGATAAACTTTTTTAAACCAACAGAACAAAGAACAGGGTGTTTTAAACAGAAGCCATTAAAAAGTTATTTTAAAGTTCCTGTTTTTATATTTTCTCCACTAACAGAAGTAAACTGAAACAAAACGTTTAGAAAACCTTTTATTTTCATTTTTCATTCCTCAGTGTGGCTCCTTTCTGTTTTATAGTTTAATGTGATGGTGGTCCAGGTGGAGCCTCAGAGACACAGCAGCAGGAGGCGGAGCTTCACAGGCTAAATGTTTACAGAATAATAAATGAAGCTGAAACAGATTAAAACTTTTAATCTGAGTTGAAGAAATAAAAACTCATTTCTTTGTGTCGTAAACCTTGTCCGTCCTGACAGCCGTCTGACTCCTGGGCTACAGGTGGGCTACTGGGACTCCTCCAGTTTCCTGACTGGAAGCTTCTTCACAGCGTTTCTTAGCTTGTCCCTGGCTAGCTGCTGTCGCTCCTCCAACTCCTGTCTGCTCGCTTCGTCTTTTTCTGACTCCTCCAGTCTGTCCTCCATCATCCTCTCCTTCTCCAGTCTGTCCTCCATCATCCTCTCCTTCTCCAGTCTGTCCTTCATCATCCTCTCCTTCTCCAGTCTGTCCTTCATCATCCTCTCCTTCTCCAGTCTGTCCTTCATCATCCTCTCCTTCTCCAGTCTGTCCTTCATCATCCTCTCCTTCTCCAGTCTGTCCTTCATCATCCTCTCCTTCTCCAGTCTGTCCTCCATCATCCTCTCCTTCTCCAGTCTGTCCTTCATCATCCTCTCCTTCTCCAGTCTGTCCTTCATCATCCTCTCCTTCTCCAGTCTGTCCTTCATCATCCTCTCCTTCTCCTTCTCTTTTTCTGCCTTCTCCAAAGAAACTCTCTCTCTTTCTTTAGTGATTCTCTCTCTCTCCACTCTCTCTTTCTCCTGTCGTTCTCTTT